GCCAAAGAAAAAAGCAAATGATTAAATGAGGCAAGAACAAAACCAAAATTATAAAGCAGCACCAAAGAAAAATTGCAACGCTTAAGGGAGATAAGAACAAGTTCAGAGCTATAATAAGGCTAAAAAAAAATTACAACATGACAAAGTACTGCAAAATGAAGACATGCTGAAATCCAATAATAAGTAGCACCAAAGAATTAAGCTAATGCTGAATGTGGAGAAATTAGTAGGCACCACCAATGCCAAATGTGATGTAAAGCCAATGTCAAATACGAAAGCCAATGTCGAATGCAAAAGCCAATGTCGAATACGAAAGCCAATGAGAGATGTATAGCCAACGTTGATCATGCCAAGTTCTAAGAAAAAGAAGGCAAGGTCAAAGCAAAAAGTTTTTTTTTTTATAGGCTTACGCATAATGACATTATTATATAGTTGTTATTACATTTTCATTTAAACTTTTACATTTTTTTTTTTTTTTTTACAGATTTTGAAGATCTTGCATCAGATTAGAACTTATGCACGTTAGATGGCCAATTGACAGGTGACATGCATCATATGGAAATTGACATCTGATGTGCGTCAGATCTAATCCGACACAAGGTTGCATCTGACACACAACATATACATTTAATCTTGATGATTATCATTCAATTCATGAAATACGTAGACCAAATGATACTTTTTTATCTTCAACTAAACATTTTGCAACATGTACAGCTAAAAAAGTTAATTTTTCAACACCTATTTTAGCTAATTATAATAAAATTCTTTTATTTAATCCAATTAATATTGATGCTAATAATCTTTATAAACAGTTAAAACAAATATATAGTTCACTTTTTGATTTAAGTTATAATTATTCAAAATCTCAATAGATATTTTATTCAACTCTTGAATTAGATAAATTTGAAAGTATAAATAATTTAACAATTTATTTATATAATGATGCTATTTCAGAATATAAAGAAGAAAGATCAATAAAAGATTTATAGCTTGTAGATTTTAAACTATTAGAATTACACTCATTTGATGATTATGTTAATGCTCTTAAAATGATTATTAATGTTCCTTCACTTAATAATTATTTAAATCAAAATGTAATTCCAATAATTACAGATTGGCCAGGACAATTATTTATTAGAAAAATTATTACATATTTAAAAATTCAACAATCAGTAACAAATATTCCACAAGTTTATAAAAATTTTCATCCAATTATTGGTCCTCTTCATGTTGTATTAAATAGTAAAGAAACAGCATTAATAATTAATTATGAATTTTTTAAACAACCATTTCATTTTGTATTTGGTGATAAAAAAAAATTAGCTAAAAAATCTAAACCTTGGCAAATTAATCTTTTATTAGAATTAGCACATAAAGCATGACAAAAAATTAAAAAAATAATCTTAGAAAAATTTGGATTATATTGTAAAGATACTGAATATAGAATGGCTATTGATTTATTAGATAATATAATTTCTGCTACTTTGGATATTTATGCAATTTTATTTAAATCTGGTTCATATGGAATATATAGAAACAATTTTTAGAATTTGGACATTTGCACTAAAATGGTCTAGAAAAAATTATAATAAAGCTTCTTTAGCTTTTCTTTCTAATATTTTTTATTGGACAGATAATAATCATCCTTTTAATAATATTATTAAAAATTTTTTAGTTTATTTTAATGATTATTATACAGAAAATATGCATAGTAGAATTAAAGCTTATACAACAAAATATTCTACTAAAGAAGAAATAATTAGAGAAGTATTTGTTATAGATAAGTTATTAAATATTTTAAATTTTTTTAATAATTATAATTTTTTAATATTATAAAATTAATTATTTATATATATTATATATTTGATTTATATTGCCATGATCAATTTAAACAAAACTTTCAAAATTTTAAAAAATATTCTTATACACAATCAAGTTTAGAATATTTAATTCAAAAAACATCTATTTTTTTATTAAATTATTTTAAAAAAATATATTTAACTAAAGGATTAGAATATAAAAATACAAATTATAAATCTTTTTATTATTATTTACTAGCACTTGAAACTACTGTATCAACAAAACAACTTCCTTGTGAATATTCTGCCAAAAAAATTCCTTCATTAATTAATTGTGTTTTATGTGATACTCTTTTAAAAAATCAATATGAAGCAGAAGTTTTAATTTGTAGTCATAGATATCATATAGTATGCTATAATGCTATGGAAGGAAGATGTAAATATTGTTATGATTATTATAAAACTGGAATTAAATATAATGTAAAATCTTTTATAAATAGATTAGAAAAAGGTGCTAATATATTAACTGAAGAAGATATAGATATAGATAATAATAAAGATAATAAAAATAATAATAATAATAATAATAACAATAATAATAATAATAATGAAGTTGAAAATTTAAATTTAGTATTAAGTAAAAAAGATAAAATAGAACAAGAATTTACAGTTAAATTAGTTAATGTTTTAAATTGGTAATTTATATTATTATAAATATATATTTATTAACTTATAAATTATTATTAAATATAAATATAAAAAAATTTATTATTATTATTATATATAATAAATTTTATAATATAAATAAAAAAAATTTTAAAAATATT